TTCAAAAAAACCACAGAATTTAACTGAGTAAATTTTAAAGATCTAATTACCTTTATTGAGTGATTGATAAATCAGGGAGCATCTCATCTATCATGTATAAAGGAGCCCCAGGGAGCTCTACAAAGTGGAAGGCAGTTATAGGCAGAAGGGCCAAGGGATAAGGAAAGAAAGGATTACCTCATAGTCCTGTGGTGAATGGAAGGTGACTATGTGGCAGGTGACCTCATTAGTGCTAACCAAAACATTCCAGACTGACCAGTTAAGACTGTGTTACTGGGGAATGTTGTAACTGTAATTAAGTTAGGTGTTAAATGTTGATTTGGTGATGTGGGCTTAGCATAAGTGACTCCATTTTGGGCCTGTTGCTTTTTTTCAACAGACATCATACATGTAAAGCCCTTAAAGTAATCCCTGGTTTATATATAATAGGCCTTACTAGACTATGTTCCCTCTGAAGGCTCTAGGAAAAATCCTTTCTTGCCTCTTTCAGCTTCTGGTGGCTTCAGTCATACCTTGAAGTTCCATGGCTTGTAAATGTATAATTCCAATCTCTACTTCTGTTATCTCATGGCCTTTTTCACTGTGTGTGTCTGTTCTCCTCTTATAAGGACATGGGCCATTAGATTTAGGGCTCACCATAATCCAGTATGACTTCATCTCAACTTAACTAATCACATCTGCAAAGACCCTCTCTCCAAATAAGGTCACATTCTGAGGTTGTGAGTAGGCATGAATTTTGCAGGGACACTATTCAACCCACCATACCCTCTAAAATTTAACCTATTTGTAAAGTATAGAAACATTTAGCAGCTTGAGCTACCACAACAAAAAATACCATAGACTGGGTTGCTTAAATATCAGAAGTTTACTTTTTCACAGTTCTGGAGGCTGGAAAGTCCAAGATCAAGGTTAGGTAGGTTTCAGTTTCTGGTGATGTCTCTCTTCTTAGCTTGCAGACAGCTGTCTTCTTGCTGTGTCCTCACATGACAGAAAGAGAGAGAGAGGTGAGACAGGGCACTAATGGCCATCACATCAAGGTCCTACCTTCAGGACCTCATCTAACCCTAATTATCTCCCAAAAGCCCCATCTTCACACACCATTGCATTGGGGGTTAGGGCTCCAACTTCAACTGAATTTGGGGTGAGGGGAGGGGACACAGACATTCAGTCCATAATAGCATTAAAAAAACAACAACTCTTAGACATAGACAGCAGTATGGAGATTTTTAAAAAATGACATACATATTTCACACTAGGCAATATTTTAGGAATCAATTATTTTTATTTTTAATTTTTTAAAAATGTGACTTTATTGACTTCAGAGAGAAGAAGAGAGAGGGGGTGAAGGAGAAACATCAGTGATGAGAGAGTCATTGATCGGCTGCCGCCTGCACGCCCCCCACTGAGGATCAAGCCCAAAACCCGGGCATGTGCCCTGTCTGGGAATCGAACCTAGATCTCCTGGATTGTAGGTTGATGCTCAACCACTGAGCCATGCCAGCTCGGCTGGAGTCAATTATTTTTAAAAACAATGATAACTAATTGTGACTGTGTATATACATATACATAAAGCTGGCTTATATTGTCTTGGGAAAAAACTATATAAGATTCGTGTTTGTTTAATAGTTTAAATATTCACATTCTGTTTTATTTGATGTCTGTCCCAAAAGAAACTATGAAGCATTTTTGAATGGTGTTTTAGGTATACAGAAAAGCAGAGGCTTTTTCTGATATATCTTTTTGTGTCATCTTATCTCTTTCATTTCCTGTTATTGTCTTTAGACTTTTTAATTAAAATATAATCAACAGAAAAGTGCATATACCATGAGTGCAACTCAGTTTTTCACAGTGAACATACATGTAATACCAGCATTCAGACAAAAAACACTAAAACCTTACCAGCATCACATAAGTATTCTGTATACCTTCTCTTCAGTTAACAAGTTCCCCCAGTTAATTCTTTTATATATACCAAAAGTTTGAGAGCTGCTATGTAGGCACCTGGATTTGTAGTGGATATTTGTGTAGTCTCTCACCTGTCAAGTATCGTGTTAGTTTCCACAGTGTGCTGTCATTCACAAGCTTTGTATATGCTGTTTCCCTGCTTGGAGCAGGGGTTTTTGTTTGTTTGCTTGTTTTGCTTTCTCACTCCTTTAAACCTTCTGCAGTTCCTCACTTCCACTCCCAACACCTTCCATAGCAACTTCATTTCAGGTCTTACCTGGGACTCCTTCCTTTAAGGAGCATTAACTCCTCCATCTCTCTTCCCCTCCCCAGTTCTGAGTTAATTACCTCTCAGGTATTTTCATTAAACCCTCCATTTCTCCTCTCATTTATCATGGAACATTCAAATTACTGCTTTACATGTCTTTATCTCTCATCCTGCTATACATATTGAAAGGTCATATAGTTCAGTATTTGCTTCATTTTTTATTTATTCATTTTTGTTAATCCTCACCCAAGAATATCTTTTTCATTGATTTTTTAGAGTGAATGGAACTGAGGGAGGGAGGGGGTGAGAGAGAAAGAGAGAGAGAGTGAGGAAGACACATGGATTGGTTGCCTCCTGCTTGCTCCTGATCGGGGCCAGGGATTGAACCTGCAACCCAGGTATGTGCCCTTAAGTGGAAATCAAACCTGTAACCCCTCAGGCACGGGCTGACACTCTAACCACTGAATCACACTAGCTAGGGGTGTATTCGATACCTTTTTGTTGTTGTTGTTAATCCTCACCCAAGCATATTTTTTCCATTGACTTTTTAGAGAGAGTGGAAGGGAGGGAAGGTAGAGTGAGAGAAACATCGATGTGAGAGAGAGACATTGATTGGTTGCCTTGATCCAACCTATATTAGATGCCTTTTAAAATGAGATATGTATGTTCTGTTTTGAAAAGTTTTTGGAAGTTAATCATTTTTGTAGTGGGAAATTTGAAGACTGGTCCATTTTACCAAGTCTTTTAAGTGAAATATGACTTTAAATGTTTTTCAATTAATGTACACATATAACTTACAGTGTACATTCAACTGCTAACACTGAAACCTTACTTATTGTTGAGAAGCTTCACATTTCAGATCCTTTGAAGATAGGAAAGGTAATAAGTATAATTTTACAGTATATATTAGTATTCTAGTTTTATAAGGTTGAGTATATTCTTTGAATTTGCTCAGGTAATGTTTTCTTGGATTATATAGACACTTAAATAGTGATAAGGGAAATTTCTTTATAGCTGTCTAATTTTAATTCTCTAAATAATAAAAAATAAAAAAATATCACTCTGGATGAAAATAACAACTCAAAGCACTACAGCCCATATTTTCAGTTAATAATTTTATATGAAGTACCTTATTTCCTCCCATTTCATTTGTTAGTACTGAGAGAGAATTGATAGTATATACTAGAATTAAATTCTGTTATAACCATATTAAGTTAAGCTTTTTAAATTAAAACATTTTAATTTGAAATAGTGTCCATTTGCTTATTTTCCTTGTTTAATTTTTAAAAATCCAAAAGGGGCATTGTTATTCATGAACCATGTTTTCTGATATTTCTGTTTGCCTCTGTGTGTATTTGTATGTATCTGCAGTTATGTACTATTACTACTAACACCAGTAGATTTCAGAAACAACCTTTTGGCTTATTTATAAATTCACCAGTGAAGAATATAAGTTAGCCCAGCCGGTGTTGCTCAGTGGTTGAGTGTGGACCCGTGAACCATGAGGCCACTGGTTCGAGTTCCGGTCAGGGTACATGGCCTGGTTTTGATCTTGATCCCCACCAGGAGGCATCCAATCGATGTTGATGTTTCTCTCTCATCAGTGTTTCTCTTTTTCCCTCTCTCTTCCTGTCTCTGTAAAATCAATAAAAACATATTTTTAAAAAAGAATGTAAGTTAAAGAAATAATTTAACTTTTTTACTACGTTCTAATAACAAGCACTGAATCATAAATGAAAGAGGAATTTCAGCTATTTGGGCCTGGAAATATATATTGGTGAACTAGATTCTGGCTTGGTAATTCAGTCCTTTAACTGATGACAAATACAACAATCTATATTACTATGGACTTAATCTTCTCGTAGAGAGTGTTTCTACTATCTACCTTTTCCCCTACCTTCCTCTGCTTTAGTCACTCTGCTCCAGCCATCATTAAGATCTTTTTGCTATTTCACTGGCTAATTTTTTACAACATTTATCACAACCTGATATTCTATCACATTTATTTTTATACATTCTCTGTAAATACAAGCTCCATGAAGGCAGGGACTTGCTTGATTTTGTTTGCTACTCTATTTCCAGCACCTAGAACCAAGACAGACACATAATAAGTGCTGTATAAATATTTGTAGTTAGAGTGAATAAATAAAATATAATGAAAAGTATATATCAGTCTGCATGGCTCAGCACTCAGTTAACTATTCAGAATTCATTTATTCTCTAAACAAATACAGGATTTTTGTCTCTAGAATGGCTCTCTTCATAGGACTGATGGTAAATTTTAATTTTTTTAATTTATTTTTTAAATATCTTTATTGATTTCAGAGAGAGGAAAGGAGAGGGAGAGAGATAGAAACATCAGTGATGAGAGAGTCATTAATCGGCTGCCTCCTGCACTCCCCCAACCAGGGATTGAGGCCGCAGCCTGGGCATATGCCCTGACCGGGAATCGAACCCTGATCGCCTGGATCCTAGGTCGATGCTCAACTGCTGAGCCATGTCCGGCCGGGCTGATGATAAATTTTAAATATGCTCTAATGATATAACAACTTCTGATCTTATCCTTTAAAGGAGGAGGAAAAGTGAAAGAGGTGAACTTATTATAGAATATTTAACTTGTTTTTTTATGAAATAAATAATGACTAAAAATAATATTTGTTCCAAATGCATTGTCTTTGTTCTTTTCTTTGATAATTTGAAAATACTGTAGTAAAATACTGTAGTAACTGTTCAAATACCAATATGTATTTCTATCTATTTTCCCCCTCCCCCCCGCACCTCTTAAAAGAATCCAACCCAAGTTGGAACAGCTCTTCAGGTTTTCCATAATCTTGGAACTTTGAAGAATACTATTACCAGTGTTGTGGATGGATATTGTGCTGCTTTAGAAGAAAGTATCAGCAGTGCGTTAGATATCAAAGTTTTGACTCAGCCTTCCCAGTCAGCTGTGAGAGGTAAGGATATGGTTTATATTTAGTTTACTTATTTATTTATAACTGAGAAGTCCTTGGAATAGTATATGAAATACTCAAGGTTCGAAGTAATTTAATGACTCATTTTTTAGTAGACAGAAAATGACAGAAGAAATTGTTTCAGAATTTGTTTACAACATTTTTGTCTAATCAGTGAGTTTAACTGGCCAATTGGTATATTCAGAACTTCTAGATAAAAATCTATAAACTGTGGCTTCATTTAGTTCAGAGGAAACAGATGCAAGAAGAAAAAAGGAACATATTTTTTTCTCTAAAATTCTTTTTTTTTTTTAAATATATCTGTATTGATTTCAGAGAGAGGAAAGGAGAGGGAGAAAGAGAGACAGAAACATCAATGATGAGAGAGTCATTGATCAAGCCGACAACCGGGCATGTGCCCTGACTGGGACTCGAACCCTGATCGCCTGGATCCCAGGTGGATGCTCAACCGCTGAGCCACGCCCGGCCGGGCTTTTTCTCTAAATTCTTATCCTCACATGTACTTCTTATTGAGACAGAAAATATTTTTTTAAGGAAATGCCATCTCTACTTTAGCTTTTTCGGCTTTTCCTTATGATAATTTTGGTTTTCAGGAATAATAATGGCTAACTGTGAAGATAGTAAACTGATAAACAAAAAACTTTGGGAACACTACAACTATAGCAAAATCTAAAGAAAACTACTAAAGATAGGAAAGAGTGGCACTACAGTGCACCTGATAATGACATTCATATATATAGCACACTTCATAGATAGGAAACACTATACATTATGTGTACCTCTCACTTCTCCAAGTAACCTCAACTCTGCATTTTTCTCCGTATATTCTTTCATCTCTCCTATTAATATGGATGGACTGCACTTGCTCCTAGCAAAGACCAAGTACTCCACTTTTGTGTTAGGTCCCATCACTCATATACATTGCTTTAGTAGATCCCCTCTCTCTGCCACTTCGTCAGTTTTTCATCACATATAATCATGCTAGTGTATCTTCTACTCAAAGACAATAAAGCAAATCTATCTTGACTCTGTTTCTTTCTTCAGCTTTACTGCCTCATTTTATTTCCTCAGACTACAGAAAAATTCCCCAAAGTGTTGTCTACATATACTCTCTTCAGTTTTTCTATTTTTCTATTGAAGAAGGTACTCTAATTGTCATAGAGTTGTCCTAAAGAATAAATGAAATAACACATGTAAATTAGTAACAGAGTTCTTATTACATGGCTAATACTAAAAAATTATTATTGGCAGCCATTATTATTATTTTTATATTTGCTATATAAACATAACCTTATAACACAGAATATATGTCACTCATAAATAACTTGCACTAGAAACAAAGAGATAAAAGAATCTTTTATCTTAAATGAATTTTCAAAGGTTAGCCATAGCCTCTGAGTGGGTCTGTATTAAAACTATTTTAGGAGAGCTTTGAACAGAAATTGCCAAAGGAGATTTCAATCAGTTTTTCCCAGCAATTATTCTCAGAAAGGTTGATCTAATGTTTAAATTTTCAGGAGCAGTTTAATCTCATTCCTTCTGTGTTATCAAAAATGGGGGGGGGGGATTAAAGCAGTCATTCGCATGCTGTCAATCCTAATGTTCACCCTTTTGTTGAAAGAATAAAGAGTTTTAAACCCTTATTATCATCTGTTAAAGAGTTGATACTGTGATTTAATGTACACACCTTAAGCATCAATTCTTTATTATTTTTTAAAAGTAATCACTATTATTATTATTTTTTTAAATGTTACATTGGAAGTATTAATGTTAATTTCCTGATCTTGTTCCTGATATTGATATTATGTAGTAGAATGTTCTTGTGTGTTGGAAATACACCTTAAAGCATTGCACTCGAGGGTGATGGGCCTCATGTCAATCACTTATTCACAAATGATTCAGGGAAAACAATTGTTTTTTTACTATGTTTTTCAAAATTTTTATATGTTTAAGATTATTTCAAAATTGTACATAACATTAATACAATTTTAAGGGGGAAGTGTTACCTATGAGATATTGAAAAGTTTATAATTTAATAAGAAAATGATAAACAACTCAATTGAAAAAATAAAGACTATGAATAGGCAATTTAAAGAACACATCCAATAAATGTGAAAAGATGTTTAGTCTCTTTTTGGAGGATTAACTAGTTATTAGGGAAATACAAATTAAACAAGATACTACTTCTCAATCATGAGATAGGCAAAATCTAAGACAGAACTAAGTGTTGGATGAGATCACAAACTGTTGTTGTACTCTAATTGTAGGAAAATAAAGTGGTTTAGCCACTTTACTCAATTTTATGAAATTGATCTGTAAGTTTTAAAATGTGTATACCTTATGATTTTATTATTTCTCTGATAACATTATACCCTAGAGAAACTCTGGTACGTATGTATGAGAATTTATTTTTAATTTTAATTTATTTTATTTTATTATTTTTTTATCCTCTTCAGAGAGTGGAAGGGAGAGAGGGAGAGAGAGAATAATTGATGTGAGAGAGAACAATGATTGGTTGCCTTCTGCACACACACCAACCGGGGCTGGGTATCAAGCCTACAGCTGAGGTACGTGCCCTTTCCTGGAATCGAACCTGGCACCCTTCAGTCCACCAGCTGATGTTCTAACCATTGAGAAAAAATAGCTAGGGCTTATTTATTGATTTTAGAGAGAGAGGAAGAGGGAGGTGAGAGAAAGATAGAGAGAGAGAGAAATATTGATTTGTTGTTCCACTTATTTATGCATTCATTGGTTGCTTCTTGTACATGCCCTGACTGGAGATTGAACCCACAGCTTTGGTGTATCGGGATGATGCTCTGGCCAACTGAGCTACCTAGTCTGGGCCAAGAATTTTTATTGCACTATTGTTTATAATAGTGAAACAGTGAAAACAACCCTTCCTTCAATTGAAAAATGAATAAACTGGTTCATTTATTAAGTAGACTACTATGTGACATTTAAATTAATAAATTTCCAAATACAGATAATTCTAAAAAAAGTGATGTGAAAAAGCAAGTTGCAGAAAGAGACATACAGTATAAAAATTTTTTAAACCTAAGAACATGATAGACTATGCTATATATTGTTTTGCATATATAACTATGTAATTAAAGTATAAATATGTGCATTGTAATAGTGGTTATCAAATTCAAAATAGCATTAGCTCTGGGGTAAAAGCAGGGAAAATGGGACCAAGAAGGGAGGGGTATGCTGGGAAGTTTATTTATTCATTCACTTTTTTTTCTTATAAATATATCTTTATTGATTTCAGAGAGAGGAAAGCAGAGTGAGAGAGAGAAAAGCATCAATGATGAGAGAGTCATTGATCGGCTGCCTCGTGCACACCCCTGACTGGGGACTGAGCCCGCAACCCGGGCATATGCCCTGACCGGGAATCAAACTGCGACCTCCTAGATCCTAGGTCGACGCTCAGCCACCGAGCCACGCCTGGCCAGGCTATTCATTCATTTTTAATCCTTCTTTAACATTTCATTTTTGAAGACTTTATTTTTTCAGACCAGTTTTAGGTTCACAGCAAAATTAAGAGGAAGGTAACAGAGATTTCCCATATACCCCTGTCTTTATACATGCATAGCCTTCCCTATTATCAACATCCCCTACCAGAATGGGTCTGTTGGCAACAAAGTCCCTCAATTTTTGTTTGACTGAAAAAGCCTCAACATGAAAATACTCTCTCAACGTCCCACTCTTTCTTGGATGATTTCTGAGAGGCTGGATTTAATTCCTATCTTTGTTCCTCAACTTTGACTTTCTGTAATTTGAAAATGGTATACATAAGTGTATATATATATTTTTAAATATGTATTCATCCAGCTTGGTGCTTTTGAGCTTCATGGATCTGTGGTTTCGTGTCTGACATTAATTTGGGAAAATTCTAAGTCATTGTCTCAAATATTCTTCTGTTCCTTTCTGTCTTTCTTCTTCTGGTATTACCATTATTTGTATATTACACCATTTGTAGTAGTCTCACAGTCCTTGATTGTTCTGTTCTTTTTATTTTTCAGTGTTTATCATCTTTCCTTTACAGTGTTTGAGAATTTTATTGGCATATCCTCAGCTCATAGAGTCTTTCCTCAGTTGTCTCCAGTCTCCAATAAGCCCATCAAAGGCATGCTTCATTTCTATTACAGTGCTTTATATCTCTAGCATTTCTTTGTTTTTTTCTTAACATTTTCATCTATTTGCTTAAATTGCTGATCTGTTCTTGCATGCTATCTTGTCCATTAGAGCCCTTAGCATATTAATCTATGTTATTTTAAATGCTTAGTCTGATAATTCCAACATCCCTGCCATGTCTGGTTCTGATCATTGCTCTGCTTAAGATTGTGTTTTTTGTCTTTTTTTTTTTTTTTAATATATCTTTATTGATTTCAGAGAGAGGAAGGGAGAGGGAGAGAGGAATAGAAAGATTAATGATGAGTCATTAATCAGCTGTCCCCTGACCGGGAATCGAACCCCGATCGCCTGGATCCTAGGTCAATGCTCAACCACTGAGCCACTCCTGGCAGGGCGTTTTTTGCCTTTTAATATGTCTGTTAACTTTTTTCTTGGTAAAAGTAATTACTGTAAATAGGCCTTTAATGTGGTGGTAAGATATGTGGGGAGGGAAGGCATTCTATAGAGCTATTATTAGGTCTCACTGTTTTAATGAGCCCTATACCTTTGTTTTGTGAACTTCACAAATGTTTTACATTTTTTTTTCCTTTAGGTGGGAAAGGATGATTAGGGTAGGCTGGAGTTGGGTAGTTCCGTACTCCAGGTCAGTTAGACTGTGGTAATATCCCAGCTGATAAGGCTTGGTTAATTAGTATCTCCTGAGAGCAGGCCTTATTAAGAACAGAGTGCTCTGGCATATTTCAAAATGATTCTTTTTGCTCTCCTCCTCTGGAAGCATGAGGGGATTTTTCTCCAATATTCACTGTAGGGACCTAGTCAGGCTCCTGAAGAGAAATCTCAATATT